GTACTTTTTCTAAGATTCAATGATGAATCCAAAAAATTCTAAAAAGTTCATTAAAATGCTTTCTTTGGGGCTGGGGTTGTGGCTCAGTGGTAAACACTTTCTTAACACGTGTGAGGCACTGGGTTCAAACCTCAGCACCACATAAAATAAATAAATAAAATAAAGGTATTGTGTCCATCTACAACTTAAAAAATTAAAAAACCCCAAACCTTTCTGTGTCCAACTACATGTCTATGTGAGGCCAATTTTCTTATATACTTCAACCCAAACTATTCAAAAATAGACTGAATGCAGAAGCAAATATGAAGACCTAGCTGTCCTATTCCAGAAATGAGAGATTTTCAGAATTGCAGGACAAGGCCCTTCTCCCCTACTCCTGCCCCCCACTTCCTTTTCACCCTCTCTTCCTCCATCTTCTTTACTGAGGGTTAAATCCCGGAGTGTTCTACCATTTAGCTAGTTTCCTAGTCCTTTGTATTTATTTATTTTTACTTCTGAGATAGGATCTCACTAATTTGTTGAGACTGGCCTTGATCTTGCAATCCTCCTGCCTCATCCTCACAAAGAGGACTACAGGAGTGCCGCTGTACCCTGCAAGAAAATGCTCTTCTAAACTTTAAATGTTTTTTTTCTTAAAAATGTTATTTATGTTAACGTGTTTTAGACTAATCATTTTTTTTTAAATGAACCAGTTAATAAATACTTTTAAAGTCCCAATTTTAATTTCTAATATGGAAAATACTGGTAGACTCAATTCGAAGTTTTTTGGGGGTTGTTGGTAATTTTTATAAGTATGAAGTAATCCTAAGTCTAAAACATTTGAGAACTGCTGCTCTTGGGGATAAGAGACACTGGAATGTGGAATGGTCACTAAATTGCCCACAATGTTAAAATTATTTCTGCCTCACACTTCACCTTCTAGCTCTCTCTCACATTCTTTCAGCAAAAATTTTGGAATTGTCTAATTAAATATGTGGTATGTGTACCCACCAATTTTTTTTTTTTTGTCTCTGCCAAAGTTGAAGAAGTAAAATCCTGTTCTCTTTCTGCTGTACTACACTGAAAAAAAAAAATAAGACAATCTCCATTTTTGCCATGGGGGTCATAAATAGCTTTTAAACTATTTAGGCTTTACTGTCCCAGATGATGATAAATTTCTTAAAAATCAATTATTTAAAAGTATAGGTTAACTAGTAACTCCAAGAAAAGTTTGTTGTTGTTGTTGTTTTTGTTTTATTAGATTACACAGATCATTCAGATGTAGTCCTAGTCAAGTTCTGGATAATTTAATAAGCTACTCTGAAATAAATACTATGTGTGTGGGATGGGAATGTGTACCTCAGGTCAGTGGTAGGACATTTGCCTAGCATGTGGCATGGTTTTGATCTCCAGCAAAATACACACACACACACGCACACACAAATAAATAAAAAGTAAGTAAAGACCATCTATGTATGTACATAATAAATTTGTGGGTATTTTGCTGCTCGGAAATCAGAAAGGATTGAGTTCATCAAATTGGGAAATCTTAGCAGATTAAAGTGGTTATATAACAACTAGGCCCGACATTTGGTTTAAGCTTTGTATTTTTTTATTCAGGGACAGTTGTAAAGAACAGTAATAAAAGAATCTTCCATTTCCTCTGTATTCCTTATCAAAATGATTTAACATGACCTGAAGTGAAAAATGCTTTATTTGTGTATTTTACTCCCCAGGAGACTGGGTAGCCCTGACGCATGTATGACACTTGAGGAAAAGGAGATCTTTCACTGCTGTTTTGAAACTGGGTTTTTGGACTGAAATAATGAGGGATTTAGTTCATGGAGAGAGGAAGGAAGGGGTGTGACATCACTTTGGTTTGTACCTTTATGATCCACTCTGTTGGGAGGGTCACTGTTGAATTCTTCTAATTCCCCAGTTGGCTCTGTGGAGAATTCATAAATGCTTTCTACTCATTTACTCATGAGTTTATATGATCTGGAAACTCATTCTAAGGTGCTAAATACCTTTGTCCAAGAAGGAAGTACAGGAAAGTGTTAGTAAAATCTCTCACCTCTGTAGGAGAAGTGGCATTTTAGAGAATTGTGGTTTATTTAGTTGACATCATATTTTTAGAGGTTTTCCTTTAAAAAAGAAAATTACTAACAACAAAAGAATGTTCACCTTTTATTACCAAAAAGGAAAAAAAAGATGTAAGATTATTCTGTGGTCTCTTTCAAAGTATACTGCTAAATGCTGCCCTCTGGAAAGAGTATTTAGTGAACTGGGTGGCACATAACTATAATTCTAGCAATGAGGAGGCTGAGGCAGGAGAATAGCAAGTTGAAGGCCAGCCTCAGCAACTTAGCAAGACACTGTCTTAACATTAAAAAACTGGGGGGGGGGGGGGGTTTGCTGAGAATGTACCTCAGTGGTAGAAAACCTCTGGGTTAAATCTCTGAAAGCACCAACATAAAAAAAATAAAAAATAAATTTTTAAAAAAAGATTATTTAAAGGAAAATCAACATACCTCATGGTAATGTTGGTGCAACAGGCCTTTAATTTCTGGATACGTTGGGTTTGGATGCTGTTTTTCTGAGTGTTCCTCTTGGATCCAGTGAGTGAAATGAGGCATCCCTGCAGAGTTCAAACAAAATTCAGGACAGGGCTCTGAGCTGATGCTTCTGGTGAACCAGCCAGCTTTGCACTGATACTTTTCCTAAGCCAAAAGATTGTTCGTGCACCTGCAAGTCCATTTGCCTGGCACTCAGTCTGAAGGGGTCTTGCTCCAAGGAAGGAGCTCTGTGGAGAATATAGCAAACATCACTCTGGAGTCTGAAAATCTTCCTTCTTCATTTAACCTATTCTATTGATTCCCCAAAGACTGCAGATTCCAAGATAAATAAAGCAATGCCTCTTTTGATGTAAATTGTAATAAGGTTAATAAGTAAAGATAGCAGACCAAGTACAGTCAAACTTCAGTACTGTCATATGTGAATAGAACTGGTAGCATCAAAATAGGAGCAAGTCATTAGTTCATCCAAAAAGTATTTATTAGATGTTGGATTTTATTTTATAACTTTATTTTGTTTATTTAGTTATTTATGTGGTGCTGGAGATCAACCCAGTACCTCACACTGCAAGACAAGTGCTCTATGACTGAGCCACAACCCCAGCCCAGATGTTAGCTATTTGAGGGTACAACCTCCACTCTTTTTTAAAACAGAAAAGAAATGACCTGTTACCTGTCCCTTCTTATGCCCAATCGTACCGCACTATGGAATCAAAACAAATAAAATAATTTTCTGAAAGCTAAGGAATCTCTCTCTAAGATTATGCCTGCTCAGAGATTTCCCTGAGAAAATGGTCTGGAAACCCTCAAAAATTGTAGAGTAGATATGCTGTCAGGGAGGGGCTGAGGCTGGGGCACTTACCTGGAATGGGTGAGGGCCTGGGTTTGATCCCTCAGCACCACAAAGCAAAAAAAAAAAAAAAAAAAATACTGTCAGTTAGGGAAGTGTTATTTTATGTACAGCTGCTGTTGGAGGACCAGTCTTTGGAACAATTCTTTCTAATTCCTGGCCCTCACCTGAGGCCTAATATTGAATGTAAAATCGGATTGTATTTTAGGGTAAAGCAAACTGAAGTCAACACTATTTTTATTTCTCCCTTTTCCTCCCCCAAGTAACAATAATTAAAAAACAAACAAAATACACCCCTTCTGTGAAGGCTGCCACAGTGGCCACAGAAATGGCATAGTCCCCACTGTTAGCTACTATTGTGTCAATGGTTTACTACTCCATGAGAAGAAGCTAGCCCATTGGGCATTTGTCCCATCCATATTTGGGCTACTACATCAGAACCAGCAAACCTTGACCATGGGGTCTCTCCAGGGTGTGTTGGAGAGCATATTGAAAATGAGACCATTATGAAAGCAGAAAAGAATAAAGTTTTAAAGTAAGAATTATTTGAAATACTTGAAAATCAAGACTGCTTTTCTCTTGCCATAATTTTGAGCTAAGATATGGGAGTTTAGGAAAACCAATTCTATGTTCTTTTTATGCGTGTGCTTCCTTGTTTACACCTGTGGAGGAAAATTCTACAAAGTGTACCTGAAGTTCTGTTTTAAGTGTGTTCATTTTGTTGCCCATTCAGAAAGCACTGGGTTGAGCCCTGGGGCAACAGAAATGACTGGCACTGGGACTATGGGAGCTATCATATAAAAGTAGGCCATAAAGGACACTAAATTGTATTATGAGTGGTCCTGTGAGGAAGATTTAAAAGTCAGGATGTATTTTCTGTGGGAAAAAAAAATACATTAAAGTTAAATTCTCAGGCTACCAACCAAAAGCTGAGTTTTACCTTTGATTTGACTAAAAATATATAACATGGAATTAAAAATATTTTCATATTAGATAAAGGCCAAGCTTATTGGTTGTTGGGGTTCTGTGGTAGAACCAATGTCATCTGCCTCTAGACTTTCAATCCAGCTAATGAAGGAGGTTGGCTATGACTTGCATTTTGTGCAATGGGACAGATTTTATTACAAAGGAAGAAAGAATTCCAGTGAACCACTTGGATTTTGGGACGGTTAAGGGCTGTGTAACATGAGGCAATACTGCCAAGGTAAACTAGGTTTATGGACTATGTATAGAATCTTGCCAAGATGGCATCTCTCCTCTGGCACTTTTTCTTGCTCCCTGTGAAATCTTAGGCAAAGGAAAAGGTTTTATGAGTGAGATTTTTGAAGTTTTGAGAGCTAGGTATTTATGCCATAGGAGTATGGTGCAAGATATAAAAGTGATTTTTAGCTGACTTAAGAGAACCCATCAGTTATGTATTTATTAGGATACATGTTGCTCAAAGTGAGATAATGGATGAATTGTATTTTTGTGTTCACATTTGGCTTATTTATGTAGTAGAAATCAGCTTTGGTTGATCTTAGCATTTTAGTGAGTAGCCATGATAACGAAACATTATCTTGCTTAACTGAACTACCGTGGTTATGCTTCTAACTTAGACACTTTCTGTTCAGTCCCAGAAATCCTGGATCGAAGGAGTGTTTGACAAGAGAGAATGCAACAAAATCATACCCAGTTCAAAAGACCCTCACAGGTATACTTTTTAATTAAAGTTTTCTTTTTAAAACAATTTGACTAGCAAGAACGTTTGTAGACATTTAGAAATACCTCTTGTCAGAAGATCTGGTAATATCTATAAAGTTAGCATTAATTAATTTTAATGAGTGTTTGTTTTTTTACCTTTATAAAAGAACTGCATGATTATTGTAGAAAATCTGCTAAGAAAAGGGACCTTGTCAATTTTGTGCCTCACTTCAGCCCCAGTGCCTATGACAGTCCCTGTCCCAAATGAGGCTCCTTATAAGAGCCTGATCATTGAATTAATGAAGTGTAAAGAAGAAAGAAGTTAAACACAGTGATATCACTGTTCATATTGTAATGGATTTTTTTCTTTCTCTTTTTTGTTTGGTAATGGAGATTGAGCCCATGGGCGCTTAACCACTTTATATTTTTAATGTAAACCCTTATATTTTTAAGTTTGAGACGGAATCTTGCTAAAGCTGGCCTTGAACTTAAATCCTCCTGTCTCAGCCTCCTGAGCTGCTGGGATTATAGGCCTGCCCCAACATGCCCAGCTGTGGTGGATTTTATTCTACTTGCTCTTGTTCCTCTTAATGGGGGAGATAGATGTTATAGGAAAATAATATATCCATTCCATCAAATTTGGATAAATAATTTATAATATTTGGATATTAAATGTTCAAAATATTGTGAATATTCTTCATCCTCAACTGAATTATCTGTGACTATTTTGGACCTATCAGGATACTGTACTTAGATTATATGAACAGGTAATTTCAGTTCTATTTTCCTCCCATAGGTTTTCTGTTTGAACAAAAATGGTCAGTAGAACAGAGTGATTTGAGTTTGACTACTTTGTGTTCTTGACAGCCCTCTGGAAACTCCACTTGCAGAACAAAGTTCAATAAGGCAGCCTGTGAAAGATAGGGGAAGAAATGGATATGGAAAATTCCCCAGGGCAATCAGATCCATGGAATTAAGATTGGCTATCTTTGCCCTTGGGGCAAAAACTAAAAGGAAAATAGAAGAGTCACATTTTAATTAGGGGAGCCATTCTATACTTAGGTTCTTTGAGCCATTGGCCTTAAATTCATTAGAGTGTAGAAATCATAGCTGTGTGCTTAGGAACACGTTGAGGTTCTTGAAATTCTTTTTCTTTGGGGATGACTAAAATAGTGTTCCTTGCCTTTGTTAAACATTGACCAGTTCCACCCTCATCAAATTACCTGCCCTTTATAAGCCCCGTGATTGGAAATTCTCATTTTACTTGTTTACAAAATGTTTATAGATGCCAAGGCAACCTTGTTTTTCTCCTTCGTCTTTTATGATGTCTTGTAATATTATGTGGCTGCAGTGGAAAGCAGACTAAGTTCCAAGTGGGTCATTTTGCTTCTGAAAATGGAAAATCATCTTCATGATCACCTTGAACTTCACAAAAAGTGATAAAATTGCTAAATCAGTTAGACTCGAGAACATCAGTGGGAGTCAAAGGTATAGCTCAGTGGTAGAGCACAAATGTAGGAGGCATGAGGCCCTGGATTCAATCCTCAACATGAAAAAAAAAACAAAAACAAAAACAATGATCATGATTCCATGAATGATCTAAGACCTGATATGTTTTATGCAGAAGAGAGCTAACTCCATCTTTGTGAGATTATAAAAAGTTACTGGATGGCAAAGGCTTTTTTCTTAGATACTAGTAAGATTATCTAAATTGTAGCTTTTATGTAATTTTCTTCATTATAATGGAAAAAATTGGCAGTATTTCATTATTATAAATTTCAATAAAATTTATCTTTGATTCTTTCTTATTTTTACTTCCTAATGAGAACCAACCTGATAGACTCAGTTATAGCATCTTTTTCCTCTTCCTTCTCAACATGCTGTAGAGGTAAAACTTCTAAGCACAGACATTCCCTGAAGGCAAGGACAGGAAGACATGAAAAGCTTGAATATGAGTTTCGGAATTACAGAATGACCCTTATTCTATGAACATTGCCTTTGTTTCTATTATTTTAATTTGAGTTTCCTGTTAAAACTTCTTTACACTGAAAATATGATCTTTGATGACCACAGTGCTAACCCCCAAATCCACAGGTTCTTCTGAATCATAAAAGGAAAGATTAACAAGGATAAAGATCATAATTATGCCAACTGCCTTCCAAATTGTTTTATAAATTTAATAAAATACCTATCAAAATCCTAAAAAGGCTGGATGTGGTGGCTCATGCCTGTGATCTCAGTGACCCAAGAGTCTGAGGCAGAAGGATGGCAAGTTCCAGGCTAGCCCCAGCAACTTTGCAAGACTCTGTCTCAAAATAAAAAGGGTTGAGGATGTATCTCAGTGGTAAAGCATCCCTAGATTTGTTCTCCAGTATCCTTCCCTCTAAAATATTCTAAAAATATATTTTTTTCAGGAAACTTGACAACAATTCAAAATTCATATGAATGTATAAAAGTGTCCAGAAAAGTAAAATAATTTTTAATATTTTGTTTTGGGAACCTAGGGTTGAACTGGGCATTTCACATGCTAAACATGTACTCTAGTCTAGGAAAGTAAGATAACTTTTTAAAAACAAGACTGTAGCATTGAGGGCTTTCCATATCCAGGGTCAAGATACATTGAAAAGCCAGGTGAGGTGGCGCCTGTAATCCCAGCAACTTGGGAGGCTGAAGCAGGAGAATCAAGAGTTCAAAGCCAGCCTCAGCAAAAGTGAGGTCTTAAATAACCGACTGAGACTCTGTCTCTAAATAAAATACAAAATTGGGCTGCGGATGTGGCTCAGTGGTTGAGTGCCCCTGAGTTCAACCCTTGGTTACACCCCCTCAAAAAAGATATTGAAAAGCATAATAGTGAAAACATTTCTTCTTGCACATGCAATGATGTATTGGATGCGTGCCTGACAAGTAATGAGCTTGCCAAGCTCAAATAATCATTTTAATTAATTTATAGGGCAGATGCTATTTCCAACTGTGAAAACTGGGACTTAGAGGAATCACTAAATCAATGAGATTTAAGTCTAGCATATTGGTTTCAAACTCCAAAATGTTTTAATAATTATATCATTGTTGTTACAGTATATGTAGTAAATGACATATGGAAAATACATGGTATAGGAATACTCAGCAAATCTTGATTACCAGACTATGGAAAATAATGGGTATTGACTATATAATCATTAGGTATATTTTTAAATACGAAAGTAAATTAATAGATGTTTGGTTTCTTTCATTTAGATGTACTCCAGGCTGCCAAGTTTGCCAGAATTTAATCAGGTAAGATTTGTATAAATAAGCTTCTTTTTAACTTTAAGGCATGTGTTTATGACTCAATAGGATAGTTTCCTTGCATCTTGAATGGACTCAGTACAAAGTCTATGCTATTTGCTTTTCCAAGGAAGGTTTTAAAAATGAGATTTTTTTTGATGGTGAGTGATTGTTTGAATGTAATTGATTATTTGAATTACTTGAGACATTTACCTACATAACTGAAGGTCTTTGACAAGAGTTGCTGCCAATTGAAACATGGAAAACATTAAAATTTTATCTTAATATTATCCTGTGCTTGGATAAAATAATATGCATCATGTGCTTGATCCATGGCTTGCAAGTAAGTTTTATGCATACCAAGCTCTATGGGAAAAAACATTTGTACTTATTGAAATTCACAGTGCAATACAAATTTTAACAATGATGTATACTTTAAACTATGTGTTATTAACTGATTTTACCTTCCTTTTTAAAAATATTTTAGGTGATTTTTGGTGACCAATTTTACCTTTCCTTATTCTTCTTTCTTTTTTAATATTTCTGGTAATTTTTATTTTTTTTAAATTTTTGTTTGTTCTTTTTAGTTATATATGACAGTCGAATCTATTTTGATATTTTATACAAACATGGAATGTATCTTATTCCAATTAGGATCCCGGTCTTGTGGATGTACATGATGTTGAGAGTCACTGTTGTGTATTAGCATATGTACATAGGAGAGTTATGTCAAATTCATTCTACTGTTACTTTTTTTTTAGTAGAGAGAAATAAAATTACCTTAATTCTGATTATATCCTTAGGTTTACATTAAGAATTGGATAATGAAAAATAAATTTTTATAAAATAGAGTCCTCAGTTTAGCAAGTCAGATGAAAAGGAAAATAATATGCACAAAATTTTAGAGTGTTTGAGAAACACCTACTAAACTCTATAGCACCAGATAAGCATTGGTTATTGTGGTTGTAATATTATACTTAATGACTGATTGATTTGACTGAATTTGGAAAATACTCTGGCACTTTTTTTTTTTTGTATCCAGGAAGGACTTTGATGTCTTTAGCCACATATGAAGTACTTTCCAGGTGGATTAATATCTGTAATTATGTGTTGATTCCGTCTATCTGCATTGGTTTTAGTTGCTCATAAGAATCTTTGCAAGAGCTACACACAACATCTTAAAATCATACAATATATTCTCTTCTCTCACAATTCTCCCTCACTTTTTTTTTTACCCCCTAGTAGTGGGAATTGAACCTCAATACCTTGCATGTGCCAGGCAAGCACTCTACCGATGACACTGAACTGAGCTACATCACTGGCCTTTTTATTTTATTTTGAGACATGATATCTCTGCCCAGGCTGGATTGAAACTTGTGATCCTCCTGAATCAGTCTGCTGAGTTTCTGGGATTATAGGAATGTACCAGCACACCAGGATCTCACAATATACACTCTAGAACATTGGTCATTAAATTGGGATGTATAAACTCCACAGAATTAAAAAAAAATACATTGAGGGATCCTGAAGAGAGACTGGAATTTGTATTTCTGTTTTTAAATCTAAAAAATAATTAAAATTTACTATTATATTTTTCAACATGCTGTAGAGGTAAAACTTCTAAGCACAGACATTCCCTGAAAGCTAGGACAGGAAGACATGAAAAGCCTGAATATGAGTTTCTGAATTAATTACAGAATTTTAGAGTGTTTGAGAAACACCTAGTAAACTCTACAGCACAATTTTCAATTTCACATAGTTCAAAACTAAAGTTTAAGAAGATTTATAGTAAAAAATGTTCATCTTATTCTTGCTCTAGGGTGGAGACAGAGTTTTTAGTACACACATAGCAAAAATAAATGTGTTAAATTTTTCTTTATTCCTCTGTTTTCCACAGACACTAAGACATAGTAGAGGATACTCCCTGTGTGCTTTGTTGAATGCTTCCATACACCTTAAAATGCTTTCTGTAACAGGATAGAGAGAGCTCTGGATGCCCCATGAATTACATGTTTGATTTTCTATTGATGAATGTTTAGGTTATCTAATTATTTGCAATCTTTTGCAATTGTGAACTGAACAATAATGAATAACCTGGGGCATTTGTAATTTCACTTATGTCTTGACTAATTTATTATGTAGATTAACATTAATACACACTATAATTTATACATAAATATACAGCTATTGGGGTGCATTCTCAAATGATTTTTGGTGTTGATAAAGTGGTCTTTACACATTTTACTTGGTATGTATCATTAAGTTTTGGGGAGTATGTACATCCTAGTTCTTTCTTAATGATTTTGAAGTATAGAGTTCAGTAGTGTTTAGTACATTCCTACTGTTGTGTAATGGATCTCCAGAACTTTTAAAAAATTATTATTATTTTTATTTGTTCTACTTTGTTGTACATGACAGCAGAATGCATTTCAATTCATCATATGCAAATGGAGAGCAACATTTCAGTTCTCTGGTTGTACAAGGTCACACCATCTGTGCAATCATACATGTACCTAGGGTAATGATGTCCATCTCATTCCACCATCTTTCCTACCCCCATAATTCCTCCCAGCCTTCCCCTTTGATCAATCCAAAGTTCCTCCGTTGTTCCCATCTGCCCTCCCCCATCATAGATCAGCATTCACTAATCAGAGAAAACATTTGGCCTTTAGTTTTTGGGGGATTGGCTTACTCTGCTTAGCATAATATTCTCCAGCTCCATCCATTTACCTGCAAATGCCATAATCTAATTCTCTTTTAATGCTGAGTAATATCCAGAATTTTTTCATCTTGTAACACTGAAACCCTATCCACTACGTGTCTCTCCATTGCCTTTTTCCGCAGCCACTGTAACCACTATTTTACTTTCAGTCTCTATAAATTTGACTCCTTTAAATATCTCATATAAGTGGAATCACATCACATTTGTCTTTTCTGGCTTATTGAATTACCATAATGTCTTCAAGTTTCACCTATGATTTAGCATATATCAGAATTTCCTTCCTTTTAAAGGTTAAATCATATTCTATTGTATGTATACACATTTTGTTTATCCATTCATCCAAGATAGATATTTGTGTTATATCCACCTCTTGGCTATTGTGAATAATGCCTCTATGTACATAAATATGCAAGAGATTTTTAACATTTTAGAAAAACATTCCCTAAAATGATACATATGTCTAATCAAAGGAGAGAACCAAGGAGGGTATTTCTAAATTTAGAAGACAATCCAATGTAATGTATATTAGTCTAATATAAATATTAATGTAAACTTGTAAGGCTTATTAACATATGGCATCTGTATATTACTCTGGGAAAATGTAGAAACATTGCATTGATTTTCTATGCTAAAGTCATTTATTTTCTGGAATGTAGGTGTTGCTGTGGCCGATTGATCCAAGACCATCATGGGATAGATTATGCCTGGACTTGCTCGGCTGTCAAGGGTAATGAAAGTGAACAGTGGTCTGTTGAAAAACATACAATGAAAAGCCCGACAGATACCTTTGGCACTATTAATTTCCAAGATGGAGAACACACCTACCACTCTAAGGTTTGCTAAAAAGATTAATCTTGACTCATACTGTCAGAGGTTTCAGTCCACGGTCACTTGGCCTTGTTGCTTTGGGCCTGTGGTAGCACTGGACATCATGGCAGGAACACATGACAGAAGAGGTCTGTTCACCTCATGGAGGCTAGGAAGCAGAGAGAGAGAGAGAGATGAGAAGGGCCTGGGGTCCCAACATTCCCCTCAAGGACATGCCCCCAATGAATGACCACTAGGACCCACCTCTGAGAAGGCCTCCCTAATAGTACCTTAGGATGGCAGCCAAACTTTTAACATGTGGGCCTGTGGAGACACATCTTAACCACAACACATAGTATTGACAAGCTAGCTATCCTTCAGGTCCTTTCTCTTGAGCATGTGAATTCCCTGTTGTTTGAATCACAGGCAGTTTTCCCAGGTAAGCCCACTTCAGGAAAGCTGTGCATCAGCTATACCCTGGAGTGTGACCAGCAGGTGGATGGATTTGAAACAAAAGTTCATCCTCGTGAATACAGTTTTTTTCTTTTCTTTTTTTTTTTTTTTCCAGTCCTGGAGATTGAACTCAGGTGTGCTCTACCACTGAGCTACATCTGCAGCCCTTTCAATTTTATTTTGAGACAGTCTCTCTCTGCCCAGGCTGGCCTTGAACTTATGATCCTCCTGCCTCAGTCTCCCAGTTTCTGGGATTATAGATGTGTGCGACCATGCCCATCTTTCTAGTATTTTATTTTTTCCATATTTTTTTTGGTGCATTATAGTTGTACTTAATGGTGAGATTCATTGTTACATTTCTGTACATGCACATAATATAGCCATGTAGTTTGGCTAATTTTTGTTATTTTAATATGGCAGCTGTGTCCTAACTTGTAAATTAAATCATGATTATTCTTGGATTCTTTCAATTACATTGGTGATAGCTTTCCTATCCCAACATTCAGAAATTCAAAATTTTAATAATGAAATAAGGGATGGTGTATTATGAATTTCAAAGATGAATAGCTACCATTTGCTGGGTGCAGTGGCACACATCTGTAATCCCAGCAGCCTTGGTGGCTGAGGCAGGAGGATGGATAGTTCAAAGCCAGCCTCAGCAACTTAGCTAGTCCCCAAGCATATCAGTGACACCCTGTCTCAAAATAAAAAATAAACATGGCTCAGCTGTGGCTGGGTTCAATCCCCAGTTCTCCCCCATCTTGTCCCAATTTCTACCATTCTGGAGGATAGTGTGAGATCCCTACCTGCAAGTATGATTTCTACCTGTGGTTCTTCTGGGTTTCTTATTGCTCTAATTTCATTCTATAAATCTGCTTTTTGGACATATACTTGAGGGAGGCAAGCCCATCTCAACATTATAGTATTTGAATGGCTTGTATGTGGCTACATCGTCCTGGACAAAGAAGGCCAGTTGCGCCATGTAAATCTTAGGCAAAATACAAAATGATCCGGAAGCTACTTGCTGGTTTGGATTTCCCTCATCTTTTATTTTGCTTGCATTGACTATTCAGAGATGATTGTTCTGTGAAAAGAATTTGTTTTGGAAAAGAAAATGTTTTTAGAAGGACATGCTGAATAAAGGAAATGATTGGAAGGTTAAAAACTTCATAATAAGTTTCTTGTAAGTGCTTCTGAATCTTTTGTTATGTGAATATATGAAGAGGTCCAGTGGATGTAAAGCCACAGCCTTTATGAAGTCACATTTCACCTACTTCTCGCAGCTTTCTGTTACCAGGTTTGCTGAGGTGGTGATTTTGGCTAGTTGTTTGAAGTGTTTCTGCCTCCCCTCAGGCCTTCTGGAGGACAGTGGGGGCCAAGCCTCTAGCCAGAGGAAACTTTCCTACAGTGACTTAGAATTCCCAGAAGGAACTTAAAGGGGGTGTGGGATCTTTTAAAAGTAAATATTTCCAATATGTGAGGATGAACTTTAAGAGAGATTGTAGACACTTCCTTGCAGGTTTTGGCCATTTTGATCTCCCTGCTGTGTGCTCATTGTTTCCATGCCTGGTATGTATTTTTCACTGTTTTCTGTTCATGGATATGTGTCTGTCTTCCAGTACATTAGAACTTCTTATGATACCAAACCGGATCATCTATTACATTTAATGTTGAAAGAGTGGAAAATGGAGTTGCCCAAGCTTGTCATCTCTGTCCATGGGGGCCTCCAGAACTTTAAGATGTCCTCTAAGCTTAAAGAGATCTTCAGCCAGGGTTTGGTCAAAGCTGCAGAGACAACAGGAGCATGGATAATAACGGAAGGCATCAACATGGGTAAAGCACGTGTTCGTCTTTCTGTCTCTCTTCTCTCCCTCCCCCGCTTTCCTTCCTTCTTCTTCCTTCCCTCCCTTCTTTTCTCCTCTTTTTCCTTCCTTCCTCCTTCCCTCTCTCCCTGTCCTTTCTCACTGTGCAGCAGGCATTATGGCATCTAATCTCAGGTCTGCAGTGCTCCCAGGACATGTGGTGATGTGAAAGGGAAAGATAAAAACTTGTGACTGGGGCTGGGGATGTGGCTCAAGTGGTAGTGGCCGCATGCATGCATGTGGCCCGGGTTCGATCCTTAGCACCATATACAAACAAAGATGTTGTGTCCACTGAAAACTTAAAAAAAAAAAAAATTAAAAAAATTCTCTCTCTCTCTTTAAAAACAAAACAAAACAAAACAAAAAAAACTTGTGACTGGAAAATAAGCCCAGAAAAATGACAGACTTTTCCTAGAATGTTTTTATCATTGTCAAATTATGCTATTTTAATGTAACTTCAAGTAAACTTCTGGCAAAAAAAGTAGTTTTTCTTGAACTTAAGTCTCTTAAACCAAAACTCTTGAGACCAAGGGTTCTCTGCAATAGTAGGGTTCATTGAGCTATTCCAGATGTTAGCCAGAAGAGGAGCTGGTCCTGGGACAATTTCTACAACTACCAGCAGCAGGACCAGCACAGTTGGAAATGTGTCCACTGGATACAAGAGTCAAGAGCATTTTTATAATGAAAATTTGGGGAAGGAAAGCATAAATTGTTCATGTTGAATTCACATTGGTGATATATAAGAGGGGTGGGATAATATGAAGGAGAGAAGAACAGTTTACAGAATACCATTGTTCCTGGTTGGGTTGGGGTTAATAGTCTGGAAATTTCATTTGTAAGCATCATGTGGTGACCCCTGATCAGCCACCTGGAGTTTTGAGTCAAGGTTTCAACATACATTCAGGAATGTGAAACAGCCTTTTGTTCCTTTCAGCCTATAGCTGTTAACAGATTAATTTCTCTTATCTCTCCCCACTTCTGTCCTCTGGTCCTTGTAACTAAATTTAGGACATCTTTTAGTCGGGTGTGGTGGTGCATGCCTGTAATGGTAAGTGACTCAGAAAGCTGGGGCAGGAGAATTGCAAGTTCGAGGCTTGGGCAACTTAGCAAGACTGTCTCAGAACAAAAAATAAAAAAAGACTGACAGTGCAGCTCAGTGCTAAATTGTCCCTGGGTTCAATCCCCAGTACTGCACCATCAACAACAACAAAAAAGGACGTCACAGAAGTTTTCTTTTATTAAGGCTGTTGTGAGATTAATAGGAACATCAAACCCATACAAATGTGTAGTGTGTGTTGCCTACATAGTAGCTAAACTCAGTCATTGTCAAGTTCTTAGATATTGGAAACAAATGATATGCATAAACATTGCATTGATTATTTGGGGAATGAGTAGACAATTACTTTTTTTTTTTAATGACACGATTGTCAATACACTGTCTATATCATTGACTTATGTTTAATTAAATTTTATTATTATTATTATTTTTGCAGTTCTGGGGATTGAACCCAGTGATGCTCTTTTACTGAGCTGTATCCCTGGCCCTTTTATTTTTCACTTTGAGGGTCTTGCTAAGTTGCCCAGGCCAGTCTCAAATTTGCCATCTTCCTACCTCAGCCTCTAGAGTTGCTGGGGTTATGGGCATGTGCTAACACCCCTGGCTAATTGACTTTGTTTTTTTTTTTTGTACCACAGATATAACCCAGGGGTGCTTAACCACTGAGCAACATCCCCTTTCTCTTTTTATTTTTCATTTTGAGATAGGATCCCGTTAAGTTGCTGAGGCTGGCTTTGAATTTGCCATTCTCCCACCTCAGCCCCCTGAGTCGCACTGCAACCTGACATTCAGGAACCTCATATAGTGGCCTTTGAACCTTATTCCTTTGCATCAGTTTATGAACATCCTGCACATAAGAATCCTCTGGGAACTTAAAACAAACAAACAAAAAAACCCAGAAATAAAAAAAAACAGATGCACATGCTCTTCCTCAGATGAATTTGCAGCTTCCAAGGGTCTAGCTTCTGAAGTGAATCTAACGTGCAGCCAGGCTTGAGAACAAGTGACTCCCCCAACCCTCATCTCTTACTGATCTGTTGCTAACAGATGGCTTTCGATCTCTCTTTACTCTTCTCTCTTCTGAATCCAAAATCTCTGATTAAATCATGCCCATCTTTTAGGGCTGACACAAGATGTCAACACATTCATGAAGCAGCATCTGATGTCTCAACTAGAGCTATTTACTTTTATCTCTTAATTCCTATTGCAGTAACTACCTGCAGCCTGTGTCTGTTTGCTTCACACATTAGCATGAGTCTGTGTAGTAGCTCTCTGCCCTGTGGTGCACCAGAGGCCAGCCTACACCTTTGTCTAAGTAATTATCAACATGTGCTGATTTAACAATTTCTTTTGACTGAAGAGGAATGAAGGAAGCAAATGATAAACAAATTAGCAACAAATGACCACAAAAACCCATAAAAAGCAAAATGAAACAAGGGATTTGGCCTGTCACTAATAGGAACCTGATAGTTTGTCTTGTATATTTTATAGATGATTATTGTTTCACATTTTGACATAAACTGAAGCTGGCAGAGTTCTAAGTCTCTTGTATGGTACTTATTTTATTTCCTGTAAAAAAAGAGAGTGGGGAGGGGAACTTTTAGAGAGCTCAGAAAAAGGTCAACTTGGAAAAGACAATTTTTTGTTAAATAACTGCATTACAGGTTTCATTTTACTTATTGCTTTTTAGAAAAGAAAATTTAGGTGAGGGTCACCAAACCTAAAGAAAAGCATAGACAGTAGTGGGAAGATGATTTAAGTAGATTATATGAACAAGAGAGATGATGGGAAATGAGGAAGACTTGCAACTCCTCTAAATCACTATCAGTCTGATTCAACCAGAGCTCCTAAACAGATCTCAGGTCCTACCCCAGACTCACAGAATCAGAATCTGCATTTGAACAACACCTTGGATGATTCTTGCACATTTAAATTTTTCTTTTGCACATTTAAATTTGAGAAGCTCTGCTTATGAATGCCTGTCTATCTTGAGACGCTTCTGAACTAAACCTGAACATTTTTTTGGCACGGCTATTTGACAATTACTGAGTTGAATGCCACCAGCCTTCAAGATCTACTAGGTCTAGAACATTTGGATAGGTGTGGATGAAAGACAAGCAGTGTGGCCCTAGGTGAGGGACACAGGTGGGCTGTGACAGCAGACAAAAGGCAACTGATTAGAATTTGATGCTGGCAGGGTTAAAAAGAAAGTTTGAGGAAGAGGAAAGGAAGGATGAATTCTGTTTTGAACTGAGGGCCCCTTTAAGGCTTGGATGAGGATACAGCCCATGGATTGGTCTTCAGCAAGGCAGCGGTGACACTTCATCATGAGAATCACAGAAAGAGATCAACGCAAGTGTAGAGAGAAGTGATAAGGTCACTGGCTGCAGTGTGTGCCATGTGGCAGGGTTCAGGGACAGTAAGGGAGACTGGAGCCAGATTGGGTGCTGTGCTCGTGGCCTGGCATTATTCTCTGTGTGGCAGAGGGCTCTTGAAGGGTTTTGAACCAGAGAATGGATAGGGGAATGATATGGTCAGATTGAATTTTGCAGAGACTCTCAACAGAGTATTTGCATTAGGATAGCAGGTGGGTTTCTTAAAACACCACCACCACCAAAAATAACTGTACAGTATTGCTACCCTAAACCAGGCCAAACTTCTGGAATAAAAATCTCTATTGGGATGGATAGCTCTACAGTTGATATACAAGTTTTCCTGAAGTTCAGAACCCAGGTTCTACAGATGAATCTGGCAGAGTTTTAATGGATTGGGGGAGAAGATGCCAGAGATAAGAAAGTGATTTAGGTGCTCTGCATCAGATCCATGAAATATGAAGGTGTCTTTCTTAGTCTGTTTGTGCTGTTATTTTTTTTTTAAGAGAGAAAGAGAGAGAGAGAGAATTTTTTAATATTTTTTTTTTTAGTTTTCGGCAGACACAACATCTTTGTTTGTATGTGGTGCTGAGGATCCAACCCGGGCCACACGCATGCCAGGTGAGCGTGCTACCACTTGAGCCACATCCCCAGCCCTGTTTGTGCTGTTATAACAGAACACTGACACTAGAAATTTATAAGAACAGAGCTTATTCTCTTACTTTTTTGGCTGGGAAGTTCAAGATCAAGGGACCAACATCTGATGTGGATTCTCTGGCTGTTTCCTCACTGTTGAAAGGTGGAAGGGCAAGAGAGAACAAACCCATACTCAGAAACCCCTTTTATGTATCACAAATCCATTTATGAGGATGAAACCCTCATGACCTAAACAATTCCTCAAAGTCCCCATTTCAGACACTGCTGCATTGAGGACTAAATTTCCAGTGCATAAATTTTAAAAGGGACACATTCAAACCATATCAGCAGGTTTTTTCCTCTCTGTGCTAATGACATATGTAAAGTCATTAGCATACATAAGGAAGACTGTCTTAAGATGCAGTGTTGTAACTAAAGGTCAGAGTCAAAGTCAAAGGACTACTTATTGTATGATTCCAACTATGTGACCATCTGGAAAAGGCAACTATGGAAAGAAAGATCAGTAGAAAGAAGATCAGTGATGTCTAGGGCTTAGCAGAGAGGAGGGATGAATATTCAACGCACAGAAAAATTTCAGGGCAGGAAAAATATTCTGTATGATACTACAGTGGTAAATAGGTGTCATTATATATTTGTCAAAACTCAGAATATATGACCCCAAGAATGAACCCCAATGTAAACTATACCTCTGGTTGGTAATTGATTATAACAAAATGTACCACTCCAGTGGGGGTTGTTAGTGGGAGAAGTTATGTTTGTGAGATGGCAGTGGGCATAGGAGAATTTCAGTACTTTGTGTTCAAACTAAAACTCTTTAAAAATAAAGACTATTTATTTTAAAGAGTCAGATTATCTAAATTGGAATCTTAGCTCTACAAATTGCCAGCTCTATAACCTTGGGCAAATTATTTGACCTCTCTGTGCCACCATTTTTGTCTATAAAATGGACTAAAAAAAATCCTAACATGTAAATACTTGTAAAGTAGTTAACACTTGCTGAAATCTTATGTTCTAGAAAGGGGTGGCTACTATAATTATTATTATTAACTCCAGGAGATCAAACATTAATGTACTATTTCTTAATGTATTCTCTCTGAATTATTTGTGTATATGAAGCTATTAAATTAGTTTGCCTTAATAAAGCCAGGGATACATCTGCAAGGTGTTTTGCTGAGATATTAGAGAAGATTAGAGATAAAAACATATAGAACATTCATGATATCAGGGCTGGACTTGCTGAGAAAGGACAATGCACAGAACATTCTGGTCATTCAGCAGGGTCAGAGCTGAGATTGTAGGCAGAAATTGCCCAAAAGGAGAGGGAAATTCTTTAGGTACAGAGGTCAGTGATAAGAGAAAAAGGTGTCAGGAGAGAATAGGGGAAAATGAGATACCAGAAGTCAATTCCACTGTGCCAGCAACTTTCCTTAAGAATAACCTTTTGCATTATCTGTATCTATTTGACTCTGTTTTATGTGATTTGTGAGTTAAAATTTGACTTCTGAACTGTTTGTCCCTAGGAGTGTCCAAGCACGTTGGAGATGCCCTAAAAGCCCATTCTTCTAAGTCATTGAGGAAAATCTGGACTGTTGGAATCCCTCCTTGGGGTGTCATTGAGAACCAGAGAGATCTCATTGGAAAAGATGTAAGTAGACAATCCTTTCAAAGCAAAAGGAAATGAATGCAAATTCAAATTGCCCATGTAACACTGCAGCTAGGTG